TTTGTGTTTTATTTTTGGAGGCGTAACCAGACTGTTTGCTATTGCAGCCACTCCATCTTAATGTTTCTACCAGTGATGCATGAAGAGTATTGACGTGAAATTAATATATCCTGAAAAAAATAACTTAATAAGAAGGGAGAGAATGAGTGAGGAAAGGAGGAAGAAGACCTATATGGAGAAAACACCTCATTTTTGTTAACATTAAGAAAGAACGGAAGGAGGAAGAGTGCAAAGCAGAATGACACATACTTAACAAGAACTGTGCAAATCCTACTGGTAGACATGTAAAACTAAAAAATATGCCTGTAGTCCTAGCACTTGATAGGCTGAGGCAGGAGGATCACCATGAGTTCAGGACCAGCCTGGGCCACATTAGTGAGTTCAAGGCCAGCCTAGAATACATAACAAGACCTTGACTCAAGAAACAAAAAACAGAAACACAAAAAAGTAGACTTGAATAAATGAAAACACATACCACATTCTTACACAGGGAAAATAACATAAATATTTCCCTAAATTATAAACTCAACACAATCCCATTCTGAAACTACACATAAAAATGCCAATGTTCATGTGGAAAAATAATGCAGGAAGCACGCCCCCACAAAAAGGAAGAGCAATGGTGAAGAAGCCAGCCCTATCATATTACAATACAACACAGCATTTTAATTAATATAACATTATAAGTAAAAGACATAGAATGATAGTAAAACAATAAAATGTCTCGAAATTTAGATAAAAATGGTGTTTCAAATCAGTGCGAAAAAGATGAACAAATGGTGTTTGGATAACGTGGTGTTCATCTGGAAAAAGATAAAGGATTCCTAGGTTAGGCAGCCAAGATCATTCCTGCAGTGGCTCTGACCTAGTGAATTTCCGCTGCTATTCTTGTCTAAACACAGATTTTCCTCTCCCCACTACCAAGCATTCCATTGGCATTGCAGATTCTTCATTCAATGTCTACCATCCATTAGCATCATGACACATCTGAATGTTCCAATGGCCCTCTGGGTGGCAGCATCCATAGCATTTACATACCCCCCATCTGAATCTGAACATTTACTTATGTCTGACTCAAGCAGATTTTCCAGGTTCCTATTACACTTTTCCTGTTCCATTCACAAAATCAGCCATTTTTTCAAAGAGTGTGGGCTTACTATAGTATACCATGATCTGGGTATTCACTGTTAAGGCAGCATCATGGCTTTTATATTCTTTCAGTGTACAAAACTAGGAGATCTGTGTAAAGTAAGATTAGGTGCTTACGGTTTTAGGGTTACCTGAAATCATAAATGTAACCGCATACCTCTATTTCAAATATACAATAACAGGTTTCTTTCACATCTAGTATTCCCATTCTGTATTTGTACTTTCCCATCCACCATAATGAAAAATCTCATTTTCGAAAACAATCTTTCATTTGCTCTCTCCTACAATAAAAACAGAATATATTAAGCAATATTGTAACTCCACTATACAAACTGTGAGAGTCTTTTTGATTTATAATTCCTAAATGGCCTTCAAAATAAAATAGTAACTATGTACAGGTGATTATAGTTACATAAGGGAAATGAATACTAACGTTATTAGAGGACAGGAGGGAAAAACTGAGCATGCTAATACTTTCACTACCAGGAAGCAGTACAGTGTTATTTGAAAGCGAATTTAGATTAAAAATGTATATTGTAAACTCTAAGGCTATCACTAAAGAACATTTAAAGAAGTATAACTGACAGGCTAAGAAAGAAAATAAAATCATATAAAATGCGTGATCAGAACCGGAGGAAGCAAAAACACACAGACAGACAGAGACAGACACAGAGACAAAGAGATACACACATGCATGGAGACAGAGAATGTCTAAGAAAAAGAATGACTGAATGAACAAACAAGGACAATGATGGCTGTAAAAGTAGCTTGGGCACTTGCCTAGCATGCCACAGGGTTCAATCCCCAGTACTGCCAAAACAAAAAACAAAAAACAATTATCAGGCATGGCGGTGCACACATTTGTAAAACCTCCACCTGGGAAGCTGAGACAGAAGGATTGCAGGTTCAAGACCAGCCCGAGCTATATACAGAGTTTAAAGGCTTCCAATACAGAAAGCAACAAACCCAGATGGTTTCACTGATAAATTCCTCCAAAATACCAACAAACCTACATCACTTCTCTACAATCCCTAGAAAATAAATGCAGAAGGAAAACACAGCTCACTCTCTAAGGTTAGCATACCTCATTCTAAAATCAGACATTTAAGATTGGTACCTTCATAAACACAGATTCAAAAATTCTCAAACAAAATATAAGCAAACAATATCTAACCATATATAAAACAAATGTATACCACAAGTGGTAAGCAAGTGCGGCTTACTTCAAATGTGCAGTATAGGTAAATATTTTAAAATAATATAATTTATTATATCAACAGACTCAACAAGTAAACCACGATTATCCCAATAGACTCAGAAAAATATCCGACAATATTTAAGATTCACTCAGCAACCTACAAATTTAAGGAAGTTCCCTAACTGAAAAGCATTTCCACAATATATATTTTTCATATATATATATATATATATATGTATATAGTAGAAATATATAATACAATATAGATAATATATTTCTACTATATATACACACATACTCACACACACACTGACATCACACTGGTGAAGTCTGAATGCTCCTTATAAAATCAGGAATGTTGCTCTCACTATTTTGAGAACTGTTGTGGAGGCTCCAGGCACGTAAATTGCAAGAAAAATGGCTAAAAGATACTCGTATGGAAAAGGCAGAAGTAAAATTATTTGCAAATGATAGTAGTAAGAAATCCACTAAAAACACTATTACAACAAAGAAAAAGTTCATCCAAGTTTTACAACACAAATCAATACACAAAAAATCAACTGTATTAGCAATGAACAATCTGAAGTTAAGAAAATTCCATTTACAATAAATCAAAAAGAATAAAAGATTTAAGAACAGACTTCATCACAATAGACAAACTATTGAGAAAATGAGTAAACTCTTTTTAGGCTGGGGGAGGGATAAGTGGGAAGTCACAGCACAAAGACTGTACTGTATTGATAGTTACTGCATAACTGTGAATAAAGTAAAGCAACAGGACACTGGGAAATCTGCACATTGTGGTATATGAATTATATCTCAGGGTAGAAAATAAGTACTTAGTCACATAACCAAAAAATATGTGAAAATGCATTTTTAAAAACATGATAAAAGATATATTGTAGACTGTTGCAGCAGTACACTGGACTGGCTTAGGGAAGACTGGCATAGAAAAAGAACATGGAAAGATCTCCCAGACATGAGGAAGCAAGAATCAAGAATGACTCTGCACTATGTATTCGTTGCTCTATTTTTGTGGAAGGTACACAGAGGTGATCTTTGAAACAGACACAAATACAGTAGGAGTTTACCATGCTAGGCAAAGGAAAGCTGGCAGAGGAAAGGGAGGGGTCACTACAAGAAGGCTGTGCAAAAGCCCAGACACGAAAAAGAGCAGGGAAAGGCAAAGCCTAGGTTCACTGGCAGAGAAAAGCACTTGTGAGGCCTAATGGTTGAGAAGGTTTTGCAGGCAATGGAGACTGAGCAAGAAATGATTATTAGGCCTCAATGAGGTAACCCTAGCAGTAATGTAAAGAATAAACTGGGACGGAGAATGACTGGAGGCCAGGAGACCTATGAAAAAGGCCAGAAGATATCTCTTCAAGCAATGACCAAGACTCCTGCTCTAAAATGCTGTAGGACAGACCGTTGTGCAAGAAATCACCACCTAAGAAACAAGGTTATGTGAACAGATATTCTCTGCAACAATCCAAATATGGAACTGTGACAGCTAAATGTATTCTGCATTTACCCACTCCTATCAATAAAGGGCTGCAAGTCCAATTAGGAACATCTCTGGCCCAGGACAGTTGTCATATTTCTTAAAGGCAGCTGAGGCGACCAGATTTTGCACTTGCCCCTATGAGAAACAAAGGCATAGGGACATTTCCTCATCCATAACATCTGTGACCTCACATTTTTCTTTGCACTACTTATTCTGTTCAGTGGCAAAGCAAAGCGAAGTATAAGTAACATTAGCCAAGCCTGCAGAGTCATTCCTGTCAATTCTCAAAGCAGGATAGGTTAATTTTATTAAGAAATCATGATGTCCTAATAGCTGATACTGACACTTCAGACAAACTGAAAACATTAGAAATTATTTTTATGCTGTTTTCTTTTGATCCATTCAGATCCTAACTTCTCTAGACATTTCGCGCAAATTTATTTTTGCATTCATTCAAACATTCAGAATATGGTACATATTACTAGTTGCAATCCCTTTGCATCTAACATACGGTTGGTACATCAAATGTAACTGAAATCCAGCACAGCTAAGCTTAACCAAGACTGTGGCTTCAGGACCCTGTCCAATCTTTCATCTGAATTTGTTACTATTGTGCTTCTCAAGCCATACCGCAGCCACACCTGCCTTGTAATATTTTCCAAATACATGTGTTCACATTTCCAACACTTTGACCATTCCTTTGTGACTGGATTAATAAACAAGAAATAAAACTTCATACTGCTGGGCACTTACTATGTGCTACATGCTACATACAGCGGTCACAGTATATTAACAATCTCATCAACTCTTCACACGCTCTTATAGTTAGTATTATTTTTCCTATGTTGCACATGAGTCAGCTGAAGCACAGAGGAATTTGGCCAGAAACCCTCACTATCCACTGCCTGTTTATTAAACACTGCGTTGGAACCCCTGACCTCCAAGTATTGAAGCTCTCTGCCCTCACCCGGCCTTTAAACTTAGCACCTCTAGGTCTTCTTCACTATACTTCCAAGTGCTTCTTGAAAAGCTTGACTTACTCCTTTTCCTTTTGCCTAACAGACTACAGGTGCTCAATAAATGAATGCCAAAATTAAGTGCCTGGTCCTCTGGCTTAACCTGAGCGACGTGCTGTTCCACCCTCGCTACCTTCAGCTTTTCCCAGCACTGTAACCGGAAGGAACCAAGCTTCATCGTCAGTATTTCCTCTGCCGCTCACTCGCGTCCACAGCCTCCCGCCCTCTGCAATGTACTGCCAATGGCATCTCCTCCTCCCAACATAGGCTTGCTCAAGGGCAAAACCAATCTCATCCACATTATCCGCCCCCAGAGCTCAGCAACACAAAAAGTGCTCAACATCACTGAACTGAAGTGAAACAAAACTAACTTTTTAAAAATAAAATGGGCACCAGGAAAAACTGCTGGAGTACAGGTTCTACAGAGTAAAAGGGCATCCTCCCTGAAGCGTCTGCAGCCTCACAGGCGGTGCCAGAGCGGACTGACTCCGACCGCACCGCCCCTACGCGACCTTGCAGCTCGACTCCAGGCAGGTGAGCGCCGCGCACCCGGATGGAGCCCAAGCCGCCCGC